ATACCCAAAGCACTGATGAAAGAGCAACAGTCATTTGAATGTATAACATGCATATGGCAGACATCAGTACCGGCTGCTTTAGTGCTCAGCACTTCATTTCCACAGATTACAAAATAAGCCCAGATGTAGTAAAAATGGTTGCTAAGAGAAAATGAAAAAAGTGATAAACAATGAACTTCAGCATAAGTGTAAGGGGTCAGGGCATTGAGTAGAAGTAAAGTTAAGTGGATGCAAACCAGGGTTCTACCCTTAGCTCTATTTTAACTACCATTGTACAAGCCAAGAAATTTTCTCACTTAGCTTCTTGTAGTGGTTTTATTCTGTAATAACTTGCTAATAAGACTGGTTGGAAGCTCAGAGAGAGAGAGTTGTATGAGATTTGGAAGGTGTAAAGGAAAACAGTAGCCAATATACTCTTAAAGTCATGCTGTTTTAAATGTAGTGAAATTCCAATGCAGAGGTTCGACCAGATTCTGGCTTGTCCTCACTCTTCCCGACTCTGTGGCCAGCCCTTCTTCCTGACCACTGGCCCTGCTGACCAACAGCCTCTGCAGGCTTACCCCCAGACACAGAGGCAATGGCCTCCCCTGGACTTCTCCTCTACCAGCCTCCTGAGGTCCCTCCCACCGCTGGTCATGCCAGGTTCCCAGACTGCCCTGGGAGCTACACATTTTTTACCCAGGGCAGAGGATTGAGAGGGTTGGGGGCTGACCTTTCTCTGATCCGCCATCCCCCTCTTTTTGACCCTTCCTTGCCATCTTCTTAGAATTGGATAAGGTCTTGTTTCTAAAAGAAATTTTTATGCTAAAATACTTACAGTGGTTTTGCTGACCTGATTGAACCTTGATGTATTCCTTCAGCTGAAAAATTAAGATTTTGGAAGCAAAAGACTTATCCATTTTAGAATTTGATGATTTTTTATGTTTAACTTCCCTGCGCCCCTCTCCCCAGCATACATGTATAAACACATTATGATTAAAGACAGAATCGGAGTAATGTACTCAGGAGGAATGAATAAAAACTGGGATACTTGTCTGGGGTGGAAACAAATTATTCTTCACTGGGTAACAATTTTATCTTTTGAATTTTACCTCTAACACTATTGAACAAAAATAATTATATTAAGGTTCTGTTTATATTTCTGTCAAGATTAATCAGCAGAACTAAGCTATATCAGATCTAAATTTTTTGTGTCATTTGAAGACACATTCATCAGAATTACTTCATCAGAAACATTCATTCAGTCATGTGATTTGTCAGCTCTACTTAATCATCTAATCATTCAATGTTTAATTCACTTAAATCCTTATTAAGCACCTATGTGCCAAGCACGATATTATGTCTGAGTATCGAGAAGCAAATAAAGCATGTCACATTTTCATACTCCAAGCTTTGGGATCTACTGCTTTCTTAGTTCAAAATGGCAGGTCCTACTCCTGCTACCTATACTTTGTGGAAACAAATTCAGAAGCTATGTACTCTGTGAAAACTTCCTGACAAAGCACCTGTAGAGTTAACTATTCATTTCTTTCCTTCAATTCTTTGCACTTAAGTAGATTTTAGATGAATTTGTTTTGTTTATGTGTTTGTCACATTTATTACCCCGAGATGTCCTATGTGCATGGAATGCATCTATCCTTACTTTGATGTGGCTCTTCTGTAACCCTAAGTATCCTACCATTATGTCTGTCATAGCATTTGCTGCACTGCACTCTAAGAGTTAATTAACTAGCCTGTCTTTTTGACTGGATGCTGAGCTCTGTAAGAGAAAGGCACATATTAAAAATTATTTTATCTTGTTTCTCTAGTGTAAAAGATATTCCATTGCACATGTTGAACATTCAAATGTCTGCTAATTTTTGACAAGAACATGTGCCAAGAACATTCAACGGGGAACGAACAGTTTGTACCAAAAAAAAAGTACTAGGACAATTGGACATCCACATACACAAGAGCGAAGCTGGACTTTTATCTCATACTATAGGTACAAACAAACAAACAAACTCCAAAACCAACCTCAAAATAGATCAACAACCTAACTACAAGAGCTACACCAATAAAACCCTTAGAATAAAAACATAGGCATAAGGGGGGAGGGTTTTCAAGAGCATGTGTCAAGGACACATGGACAAAACCAAAGGGGGTTAAGATCAAGGATCAGAAATGAAGATGGCCAGGGTGGGGGGAAAATGGAGACAACTGTACTTGAACAACAATAAAAAATGTGGAAAAAAGCATAGGCATAAATCTCCATGATCTTGAAATTGGAATGGATTCTCAGATATAGCACCAAAAGTATGGGCAATGATAGAAAAAGACAGATGAATTAATCATCAAAGTAAAAAATGGGCAAAACACTTGAAAAAAACATTTTTCCAAAGAAGATACACAAATGGCCAACAAACATGTGAAGAGTTGCTCAACATCATTAATTGTTATGGAAATGCAAATCAAAATGATACCCAGTAGCATGGCTATAGATGAAAGAAAGAAAGAAAGAAAGAGCTGGTGAGAATGTGGAGAAACCAGAACCCTTGAACATTGCTGATGGGAATGCAAAATGACAGCCAATTTTTTGAAAATAGTTTGGTAGTTCTTCAGAAAGTTAAACACAAAATTACCATATGACTAATTCTACTCTTAGGTATATCCCAAATACCTGTGAACAGGTACTTGTCACAAATGTCCACAGCAACATTACTCACAAGGGTCAAAAGGTGAAAAGAGCCCAAATGTCTAACAGATGGACAAATGGATAAACAAACTACAGCACTTACATCCAGCAATAAAGACAATGAAGTACTGATACACGCTACAATGTGGATAAACCTCCAAAACATCGTGTTAAGTGAATGAGCCAGACACAAAAGGTCACATATTATATGAGTCCTTTTACATGAAATATCCAGAACAGACAAATCCACGGAGATAGAAAGCAGATGGGTGGCTGCCAGGGGCCATGAGGAGGGAGAGAGATACAGAGAAACTAGTTGATGGGTAAAAGGTTTTAGTTTGGAGTGAATAAAATAATTGCAACTACAAAGAGTTGTTTGGTGGTTATAGGTACAGGTGGTAGTTACAAAACATCGTGAATGTATAAAATGTCACTGAATTGTTTACTTCAAATGGCTAATTTTATGCATGTGAATTTCAACTCAAATCAATTATTAAAACATACATACGCACGCACATGCAAACATGTTATCAAATAAATTGAGGAATGACTAGCTGAGATATGACTGTGTTAAGGCTCGATGGTCATAAAATTTCTAGGCAAAATCAGGCCCATCTTTGCTGATGATAGACTTCGTGGTTTTTAAGAAATGTGACATGTAAGTTTTTTAAGCTGGTACTGTCTAAAACTGGAACCTGAGTGACGTGGAGGAGTGAGGGAACTTGATCCTGGCTGGTAACGTCTGGTGTTTAGAGGTCAGGATGGTGCTCTGATGTGTGGTACGCACCAAGGTCCTCCCTCCAGGACCAAAACACTTATCACCCGCAGCTTCTGGGCCTGCCACCTGCTGATGGCTCTCTACCAGCATCCCTCTCCTGAAGTGCACGTTTCTCATTTGAGGGATATTTTTCATACATATTTATACCCTCCTTAGGGGCACATTCAGTCACTTGTCTATGAAGGGCTATAATTATTTGTTTTATGTCATGAAAGCATTTAGTGTTAGGATGGTGATGAACTCTGTCCTTAGGACCTAGACAAAGTATACAGACATTAGAATTAAATATGCTGAACGACCTAAGAGCACACACAAGGGGAACCTAACCTTTTGTGGGGGCTCAGGGAAGACTTCCTGGAAAACGGGATGTCTGTCTGCTCTGAGACTTGAGGAGGCAAATGAAAAGGGCTGGTTAAGAGAGTTCCAGGCTGGCAAGGTCACACACAGAAGCCTAGGAGCAAGAGGCAATCCCATTTTCGGGAAGCTAAAAGAAGCTCACTATGAACTGAGCACACTGATGTTAGAAAAGAGTGTGGGCACCTGAAAAAGAACTTCATAAAAAGCAGTACAGACCACCACATAGTATTTGATTTTAGGCAAATTATTTATCATGTCTAGGGCTTAGTTATTTCACATGTAATTAAGGAAAAGAGTTACTACCTCTATCATTGTTGTGAAATTATATAAAGTGATAAACATTATACAGTCTATTATTAATGTTGTCACTATGATTAATGCCAAGACATGGATAAATATAGTTTTGATGTTGAAGGGGCAAAACCCCAATGAAATCAGCATTGCAAAAGGCATACAACAAAGTCCGCATGCAACGTTTTAAACAAATCCAATCAACAAACCACCATAGAATGCTTTCTGCAACAGATGTTGTTGAATCTTATAAATTTTAAAAAATGGTGAAAAATAACTTTCTTAAATCATAAAAATTATTTACAATATACAATGTATATTTTTTGCAATATAAGAGTGTCTAATGACCAGTCCCTTCTTTCCAGCAAACAATCCTACCCTTCTGATGAGAACCATGAACAGCCCAGGTAAGATGGCTTGGCTCTCTACAAATCTTACAGCTCACAATCAGGAGTAATTTTTTAAAAAAATATTTCTGTGAACATAGCTGCTTTTAGTTAAAGTGGACTTAAAAGAACCAACCAGAGCCTTTGTTGTTTTCTTCTCTTATTATAAGTGGAAAGGAGAGACCAAAAAAAAAAAATCTGACCTTGAATAAAATGGATTTCAAGGGAAAATATGAATGTATTCTTAGCCTAAAGTAGAACTTTTCATTACTTAGCAAGCTTAAAAAAAAGGCTGACATAATCTCAGATTTGTAATAATTATGGTGTAATAGCGGGATTAATAGGTTTCCCAGTAAAATCATGAGATTCAATTAAAAATATATTTTATGTTTGTCATGAAATGCAGAAGCAATACCAAAACATTTAGTTTGGGCATGCTAAAGAGTCTATCAGCAACAGCTCTCCTGGCAATGAAATACTAGGAAGTACAGAAAGTTTCCCAGTCATTTCCGACCTGCTGGCCATGTTCCACTCCAGGGCTGGATTCTGAGAATTCCTCTCACCCTCTGGGAGGGCCCCTCCCGTGCCGCTTTCCTTCTCTGGCTTTAGTTGATCCCACTGCGCAGTACCAATATTGATAGACTGCAGGTCTATTTGGTATTGTCTGTCTTCGATTTCTGATCCAGGGTCTCGAAGGATTCCTAAGTTCAAGGCTCTCCTAGAAAGGTGGTGAAGAAAGGCAAACAGATAAAATCAATCTTCTATGTTCATTCTGCTCACTAACACATTATCATCATTTCCCCCCTTTGGATTGCTGACAAACACACTGCGTTAATCAAATCTATGAGGCAGGTATTAGAAAGGTATTACTACATATTATGACTTACAAATGTATCCCAAACTTACCACTTAGAATAACCTTATAATGAATTATGTGATTCCCAGCTCTGACTTCACTTTCTACAAAAGCTTTCCTGATCGCCCTTTCCCCAAACTCTCTCCCTCCCTCCCACATCTGTGTTCCTAAGGTCTCTCCATGTACATCAGCACAATAACATCACAATGATTTGTCGATCTTTCCCAATGTATCATTATCAGTAAGTGCTGTTTCAATTTACTGATGTGAACTGACACAAATCTTCACAATCTCAGACAAAGAATCTAATCCGCCCACGGCAGGAAGAACACACAGGAGCCTTTGGACTCAGGCCCTCATAAACTCAGACGTACAGCCAGTGGTATCTCAGGCAGCTGGTGGCCTCGCCTCCTTCCCTGGATTATTTTTCCCCATATGAAAGTTGCATTTGCTTATTTTAATCTAGCCAGTGCTTTCTGCATTTCAAATAAATTCCTTAAACATATTTTAAGGAGAACTAAAATATTTTATGAATCCTTGAAAAAAGAAAAAGTGTTTTTGGAAATACAATTAGTGCTGTATTAGTAGCTAAACAGAGCAACCTAGCCCAGCATGAATGAACATCAGGCCTTCTGTCGCCCTTGGCACATAGAAGAACTCCATAATCACAAGACTATAACCACAAAAACACTGAGTTTCATCAGCATCTTTCAGTTGGACTTGAAATTCCCCATATTTTGTCTTGGCTACATTCCTCCCATCATCCATCTGTGGAAAACATGACTTTCCACAGGTTCTTCCTAATAAAAAAAGGGTTTGCATATTGAGCAACAATAGCCAGATATTTCTAACCATGCTAACTGAACATTTTCAAACTATGTAACAATCAAGATTGGAGAGTTTATCTCTGTTTGCTTTTGAAATTAAATTATTTATTTGTCCTTTAAACCAGATTGAAAGTTGAGAGAAATTTATAGTATTTGGGCATATAAATTCAACTTAAAAGTTAATTGCAAAACAATTTAAATCTGAATTGTAGAAAACAGGGAAGCAAAAGATTCAGGTGAACTTTGCTCTCAGTCTTTCTGATGACCATAAGCTCAGAGAAACTAATTTCTCTGTGCTTTAGTTATTTCAATATTAAAACTAATATAGAGATAAATAAAATATGACCAGAAATTAAACTACTCATGAAGAGGTGCATTATGAATTTTATGACCATTCCTATAGTACATTATCTTATATACCTAATTCTTAATGAATACTATAATTTAAACATCAACTAATCATAGATACAAATGCACGAGGGTAAAATGTCTACTTTTCTAATTGTTAAAAAAACTATAATAAAACCTATAAAAAATAAATGTACTTTAATGTTTCTAGGGTCAAACTGTTTCCAAAGTATGCAATATTAGAAACCTTGAATGAAACTCCTATCTGAGACAATGAAAATGCTTGAAAATAATTTAAAGTATTTTTTTTAAACACATCTCAGTTCTGGCAACAAGGAACAAAAGCTGGAAAATCCCTTTTAAAAAAGTGAAACCAGGAACCCTAATAAATAAGCACCCAAAGCCAGCTTTTGCCTGATAACTGTACGGGAAGAGATAAAGCTGAAGGCCCATCCAAAGTGATATATCTGTTTAGTAGGAGACCTTGCATGTAGAGTTAGGGGTCACAGCAGTGAAAAAAATAAGTTAAAAATAGACCTCCTAAGAAACCTTTCAGTGATAGAACAGTTCTGTACCTTAATTGTGATGATGGTTTCATGAATACATATGTGACAAACTGCACAGAACTATGCGCACATATACATATATACTCACAAACACAAATGAGTGCATGTAAAACTGGTGAAATGTGAGTATGGCTGTGGATCATAATGATGTCAATTTCCCAGTTTTGATTTGTACTGTAGTTATGCAAGAAATTATGTGAGACCTGAAACAATAAAACTCCTAGAAAAAAACATAAGGGTAAGCTCCTTGACTTCGTTTGGTAATGATTTTTTGGATCTGACACTAAAAGCAAAGGTGAAAAAAAAAAGCAAAAATAAATAAATGGAACTATATCAAACTAAAAAGCTTCTACAAAGCAAAGGAAACCAGCAACAAAATGAAAAAGCAACCTCTGGAATGGGAGTAAATATTTGCGAACCATGTGTCCAAAGTATATTAAGAAACTCATACAAATTCAATATAAAAAAGCAAATAACCCAATTAAAAATGGGCAAAAAATTTGAACACACATTTTTCTAAAGATAAACAAATGTTCAACAGGTACATGAAAAGGTGCTCAATACCTCCAATCATCAGAAAAATGCAAATTAAAACCACAATGAGACATCATCTTATATTCATTAGTAAGTCTATGAGCAAAAGGCAAGAGATAATAAATGCTGATGGGATATGAAGAAAAGAAAACCTTTGCATTGTTGGTGGGAACGTTGACTGGTACAGCCACTGCAGAAAACAGTACGGGGGTTCCTCAAGAAATTAAAAAAAAATAGAACTACCATCTGAAGGTACAGATCCAAAGGAGATGAAGTCATGACCTCAAAGAGACGCCTGCACCCCACGTTCACAAATAGCAGTGTTCACAACAGCCACGGCATGGAAACAGTGCAAGTGTTTATTAGTCGATGAATGGATCAAGAAATGGGACACATTCTGTTTGTTACATATAATATATATGAAATATTATTCACCCTTAAAAAATAAGGAAATCTTTTTATTTGCAGTAACATGAATGAACCTGAAGGACACTGCACTAAGTGATACAAGCCAAAGAAAGACAAATATGGCATGGTATCACTTATATGTAGAATTTTTTTTAAGCCAAACCCATAGAAACAAAGAATAAAAAAATGGTTGCCAGAGGCTAAGAGGGGAAGTAGAGAAAGATGCAGAAAGGGCACAAACTTTCAGTTATAAGATAAATAAGGTCTCAGGATGTAATGTATAACACAGTGAGCATATTTGACAGCACTGTATTATATGATTAAAATTTGCTAAAAAGTAGAACTTAAATGTTCCCACTTTTTTCAGGAAAAAAGAGCACACCAAAATCCAAGTTAATATGTGAGGTGCTAGATGTGTTCGTCAGCTCGATCGTGGCCATTCCTTTAGCAATGTACATGCCTGTCAAGTCAACATGTTGTACACTTTAAATGTCTTACATTTTTGTCCATTATACCTCAATAAGGCTGGAGAAAAGTTACCTGGAGGAAAACTGGAAGGGCACATAGGACTTCATCCATATATTTACATATTTGCAACTTCCTATGCATCTGTTAAGTATTTTAAATTATTTTTTTAAAAAACCTTCCTAACGCCCATGCAGAAAGGGCCAAGGTAACTTAGTCACCTAAATTTCTTGACCTTAGCCTTAGCAATAGGTACAGAGGCGGAAAAAAAGTCCCTATAAGATTCTGCAAACACAATACAGTACTTGGAGGTTTCAGCTTTAAATCTGGGATGAAACCAAACTTAGTGTAAACCTGGAGAGACTTGCTCCAGGTAGACAGTGCCACCAGCTGACAGGCAAAAGCAAAGGTTAAAGTGAATTTTCCTGAGCTGAACCCAATTTCCACCATAAGAATATCCACAGGTTACATTACAAGTGAAAGTGAAAGGCTAATACATAAAATTCACAATTCGTACAAGATAATAAGGCACCTGAGTGAAACACAGCAGAAAGAAAATGGGCAGAAGAGAAAGCACCTCAAAGATTTCACAAACTGGAATAGCACACATGAAATATAAATTAGTTGTTTAAAAAGTTATATTTTTAAAAAATGCATCTTTAAAATATGAGCAGGACCAAAGAAGATAAGCAGATGGCAAGTAAATATATGAAAAGGTGCTCCACATCCTGTGTCACCAGGAAATGCAAATTAAAAACAAAGATATACCACTACACACCTATTAAAATGACCAAAGTCCAGGAAACTAAGAACGCCAAATGCCAGCAAGGTGTGGGACAACAGTACTTCTCAATTATTTCTGATGGGAATGAAAAATGGTAGTCACTTTGGAAGGCAGTTCAGTGGTTTCTTACAAAAATGAACATATGATCGAGCAACCACCCAGAGAAGTTGAAAACTCATGTCCACACAAAAACCTGCACACAGATGTTTGCAGCAGCTTTATTCACAACTGCCGAAACTTGGAAGCAGCCAACATGTTCCTTCATAAACCATGGTACATCCAAACAATGAACTATTATCAGCACAAAAAAGAAATGAGCTCTCAAGCCAAGAAAACAATGTTGAGGAACTAAAGACATCTTATTAAGTGAAAGAAGCCAATCTGCAAAGGCTACATAATATATAATATCAACTATATATTATTTTTGAAAAGGTAACTATGGAAACAGTATAAAGAACAGTGGTTGCCAGAGGTTGGTTGGGAGGGAATAAACAGGCTGAGCTCGGAGAATTTTTAGGGCACTGAAAACATTATTTGTACAATACTATACTGATGGATTCATGACATGTCATCACTTTTCCAAACCAACAAACTGTACAAAACCAAAAGCGAATCAGTGGTAAAATCTATAGTGACCTGTGGTTTGGGTGGATACATGTTAACGTGGGTTCATCCGTTTACACGACTGCAGCACTCCGGTGGGCGTGTCGGTAACGGGGAGGCCGTGCACTGTGCGGTGCAGAGCATAAGGGAACTCTCTGGACTTCCCCCTGCTTCTGTTAAACCAAGTCAATTAAACCTGTAATTGGTCTAAAAAATGAAGTCTTCAAAAAAGTATGCGCAGGGAAGAAGATTTTAGTAATAAAAACTACGTAGAAGTACAAATAAAAATAGAATTACTTAAACTCAAGCAGACTAAACTCAATGGAA